GAACTCTTTTTAATAATATTATTTAGGGGGCTTATATCTTTTCATTTATATTTAATTAAATAAAACGAAGAATACAAAAAAAAATACAAATAAGGCTAAAAGAGAAATTCGTTTCTTCTTTTTCTCCTAATTAAGTTAAAATTAACGCATTTTAATTTTGAATTTAACTAAAAAAAAAAAAATATTCTTATTTTTTTTCCTTTCATTTTTAATTCTTATTTTTCTTTTTAATTTTTTTTTTAGTTTTATTTTTATTTTTCTTCTTTTCAAGGAACTCATTATTATTATATATTTTTTCACTTTATTTTTAATTACTCCCCATAGATCCTTTTGGAAAATTAAATGTCAACATTATTAATTGTATTTGTACAACATTTTTATGATAAAGCACATAAGCTTAAAAAAAAAAAATCTTTTTTTTTTTTTTTATTATAGAATAATAATAGAATAAAATGTTGAAATGGACGACGACAACAACAGCAATGATAATAACATAGAGATTCAGGATTTAATCCACGAGTAGGAAGGAGTAAAAGAAGAAAAAGAAATAAATTTATATATAAAAGCAAATAGAAAAAACGAAAAAAAAAAAACAAAATAATAAAAGACTATTTTTCATTATCTATACGCTTGTATATATACATATGTATGTATGAATGTATGCATGTTCAATTATCTACATAAAATTCTACATATATATATATATATATAAATTAGAGAAAGAAGGGAATGAAAAAGGGAAAACTTATAAAATTCCAAACAAAAATCTTCTTCTAATTTTTATTTAACATAAAAATATTGAAAGAAAGAAAAGTAAAGAAAAATATAAAATAAGAAAAATGAGAAAAACATTTGTTCTTTACAAATTACAACTTTTCTCTCTGATTGTTATATTTTCCCACACTATACTTTTAATATGACGCACAGATACATACTATTATACACACACTTAAAATATAACAGAATTTTTCGTATGTTTACATTTTGATTGTTTTGTTACTACTGGTACTGGCTACTATACTACACTACTACTAATACACACTCTGTCTGGTGAACGAAAAATAAGATTTTGTTGTTCTCCATAGATTTCAAAGTTTTAAGTTATCCTTTTTGTCATTTTTGTTATAATTCTTAATTTTTTTTTTTTTTTTTTGTTTTAGTTTTTATTTTGAAGCAAATTATTCAGTACAGGATTATAATAAAATAAGATTTTCATTCTGAAACACCATTATTATATAATATATGGAATGATGAATAAAACAAGAAAGAGAAAATTATTATAACAAAAAAATAATATAAATTTACAAAAAAAAAAAAGAAAACAACAACAACACAGAAGACATCAAAAAATTCTTATATTTTTATGCTTAGAAAATTCAAGAAAATTTACAAGACTTCATTTCTCATGAAATTCTTCTTTTTCATTGTTTTTTCTTTTTATTTTATTTTTTTGGGTTTTGTTGTTTTTCATTGGTTTTAAAATAACATATTATTGTGTAATTTATTATTATAATATTTCAAATATAACATTATAATATTCAATATTCATCGATAATATGTAGAACAATTTACTCAATAAGGAATATTTTTGATATGAGAACAATTTTATTTGATTTATTATTTGAATAACATTAATATGATAGTTAATGATTAACTGATTTACGAATACCCAGTTATATGCAGGATAATATAATTGTGATTTTATAATATAATTGTGTCCATTTAAATTTTGTAGTAATAGTATTTATTGCCATTTTATAATAATAGTATCGTTTATTAACACGTAACTCGCGTGAAACAATATTGTGCTCAATCTATGTGGATTAGATAGCATATAAACGAAAAAGAAGAAGCCATACAAATGGGGTAAAATTGTAGATTAGAAGTGATGCAATATATCAATATATATCAAGTGGTGTATATATCAATATATTTCAATGCTGAAATAATAAAAAAAATCATACATTATAAATGTATAACAGGTTACCCTTATATTGTGAATTATCCTTAATTTTGTTGGTTGAACGAATTCTCTTGTTTTTGTTCGTTAAATTGGATTACTTCGTTGATTATAACTTTTCTCTTTGTGTTCGGTCTATGTTTTCATTATATTTAAGCTATTCATCTAATACATATACAACCTATTAAATAATTATATGAATATAAAAATTTACAACGACATTTTTCCTTCTTTATACTTTTTAAAAATTGAGTAAACAATATTATTTGAATAAATTTTTTAGTAATTCTTTGACAATATATTATTTGATGGGTACTCAAGTTCTAGATACATACATAAACTATCATTTTGTAAGTACAAAACATTTATTATTTATACGTATATATACATATATATGTAATTTAATAAAAGTCAGTTTATAATCATAAAATTATTTATTTAGGTTGTTGCCGCTATTCAAAAAATTTTTTAAAAATTTATAACAAAAACAACAATAATTTTGACCTTAATAATAACAGCGATACAATTTTCATTTTCATGTAAATTCTCATTATAATTTATTATTCAAAATATATTTTCGCTTTTTTTTTTCATATTATTAAATTATAATATATTATGTATGTATGTACGTATGTATGTACATTTTATATACATATATCTATTCATATATTTTATACTCGTATATACATACATAAATACTAATGTTACTTTATATTTTTTGATCTTTTTCTATTCTTCTCTCGACTTTCTCGTTATGTTTACATTTTATGTTTTATTCAATTTAAAAACATCATTGGACAGATGACGTTAAGAGGCGAAAATTAAATAAAATGAATTTTTTGTTTTCTTTTGTTATGAAAATAAAGTTAAGAAAAAAAAAAAAAGACAAACTTTTGTAAAAATAAAAAAAAATTGTAAGAAATAAAAAACAAAAAATTTTTGTTTTTTCGCCTAATTTTATGCAAAATAAGTTAAGAAGGAAAAAAAATTTTGATTCATGTATATACACACATACGTATGTAACTATTAATCAGTATAGCTATGAAATTTGTTCTTTTGTTTTTAGGAAAATAAAATTTCTATGATTTTATACAAAAAAAACATTAAATTGAATTTTATTTTTCAATTTGTGTTTATCAGTTTTATTGCGGTCATTTTAATAGTACATATCTATACATACATATTTTACTAAAATTTGGAACGTGTTCATTTTGGCCTCTGACATCAATTTATCGTAGAAAATCTAATTATATTTATGTACATATACAGAACGTACTTTTAAAATTTTAAATTTGAAAACAAGCATTCTCATAACTTAAGAGCCAATAAAACGAGAAATTGTAAAATGGCACTACTCCTTGCAATTACAATTTCAATTAAAATCCTGCTATAAATATGATTAATAAAATTAATATTACTAATATTACAACAAAAATTTAAAAAACTGATTTAAACAATATTCTTAGTTATACTTAATAAGTCATCAAGTTTTTGTAAATCCCCGAAATCAATTAAATTCATTGCATATACTCTAGGAATCAAAACTGTAAATATATTTTATACCGCTTGGTGAAATTTCAAATTAAAATTAAATATATTTTTTTAATTAACTAAAAAAAATTTCAATTGAATTAGATTTTCGTGCATGAATCAGAAGATACCAAAAATATTTGAGCTTAAAACAAATAAATAATTAAATAATAAGCATAAAAGAGTATAGAAGTATATCATAAACAAAAAAATTATATAGGTAAATTATAGTACCTTTTCAATTTAAATAGACAATTTGCTAGATAATCTGTTTCAATTAATTATTGTATTAGCAAAGAACCAAACCTTAACACTAAAACACTCTTATTGTGCCTTACATAATATGTAAAATCGTTTTTATTATATCAACATGTAAAGTTACAATAAATAGTTAAATAATAGGGTTAATGCAGATTGTAAATTCTAAAAGTATTCTAACACATATGTTTAAGAAGCTGAAATTGTGTGATGTTATGTAGTATAAGTTATTTTTAATAATTATTAAATTAATTCTCCAAATTATTTGCGATTAACATAAAATAATGCTAGTAAAATTCTAGAATAATTTTCATTTTATGAAGAAAATCTTTCCATTTATTAACCAATTTAATTTAGACCATGACCTTAATAATTCATTTGAAAGGTCAAAGTTATATAAAGTCTACAAACAAATAAATTAATGTTGTCTTTGCATTAAAAAAAAGAATATGCGAATATAAACACATTAAACATTTTTTTTTTTATTAAAAATTGACATTAATTCAGACACTTAAATTTTTTTATTAAATTAAAGAGCAAGAAAAAAAATTATAACAATAAAAAATTTTTATGTTATTTTTGAACCTTTAACATTGAATAGCCCAATACATTCACTTTGAGAACCATTTAATTTCAATTCAATTTTTAATAAAATTTCGGCATTTTTCTATAATGGTTTAAAAAAAACAATTTTTTTTTAACAAAATAAAATGATTTTTCATAAATTATTGTTTGTTTTGCAAAATTTTATTCAAAATAATTTTGTATTTCAAAAAATCTTTAAAAAAAAACATTAATTTTTCTGCCTCATTAAAATTAAAAAGAGTTGTGATCAAAAAATTGCAGTTTATACAATGTTTTTATTCTTTATTCAATGAAATGTGAATTTAAAAATTTAGTTTTGATATAAAGGATAGCTAAATAAAAATTCGTATTTTTTCATATCAAAATGATTAATTATTCTGCTATAGAAAATCTGGGAACCGCACTCTATTATACATACAACAATTTATTCATTTGTCCAAGAACTTTGATATCATAGTAATTTGCATTGTGCATACTCTTAACCAAGGAAAATGGCATCGACATATTATAAGGCTTGCTCCATAAACCACTTTCTTTGCAAGTATACTTATGAATTTTTTGCAAGTATACTCAGAATTCAATTTTTCTATTATTAAACATTCTATTTAAAATAATAATAAATTTCTAAAATAAAAAACGAACATCTTTTTTTTTTAATTTATTTCAGGAATGGAATGACTATAAGTTAAAATGGAATCCTGATGATTATGGTGGGGTCGATACACTCCATGTACCATCTGAACATATTTGGCTGCCAGATATTGTATTATATAACAAGTAAGTTCATCTTTAAATTGTAGTTGATTACAAAACAAATTTTAATAACTTGTTTTGGGGCATATTATAAATAAGTAAATCATAAATCAAAAGTAGTACTCAATATTGACGAGACTGCCGTTAACATGTAATATTTTTTGAAATTTTGTTATAGCTATTATTTTACTTTTCATATTCTGCAACTCAATTGACATAAATCAGGGAATAAAAGAGAATTTTATACCCCATATAGCCATTTTTGATTGTTATTTTAATTAAAAAACAAACTAATAAATTACCGACAAACAATTAAATTCATGAAAACTATATTAATTTCAAATACTGCCATTTTTATAAAAAGGAAATTTATCCATTTTGAAGGCAAAGACCGAAATTAATATTCAATTTTTAATATTTTTACTCAAATAATGTATTGAAAATTTTTCACATAAAAATTAAATAATAAATCTGATTATAAGTCGCTTCTATATAAGTTTCGTTTCTCATTTACACATGTATGTATTACAATAATGAAAATTTTTACATGGTTCATAATATTATATAATATGCTAGACAGTTCGGTGCGATTAAACCATCATAAATCAAATTTAATAATTTTTCAAGTGGATATAAACTTTTTTATGCAGAAAATTATATGAGTTTTTTTTTTTTTTATCATCATTATTGATGCAGAATATATAAACATTTTATGCATATATAAGAAGTTTTAAGAGGCACCATTTTTTAATTTAAAAATTTTCTTTATCTTTAATATTGTTTGTATATAATATAAAATTTACGCACATTTAAAATTTTTGAGTATATTATAATAGTTTAGCTACACAAAAGTGAATATAATAGGTATTGAGTGAACGTTCTATATATATGTATATATTTTCTAAAGAATTCTACTTATGTAATACTCGTATATAAATATATGCATACCGTGAGGGCAATATTACTTGAGTCAATATGCACTAGTTTTTTGAAGACAAAAGTATGCCTTTTTAAATGTTATTAGTTATAGAAAAATATAGTGTTGTCGGCGACGATATCATTTATATCATTATAGTTTTCTGGAACTATTATAAAATTTTGCTTCTAGAGCATATTTAGCAAAATTCGTACATATTTAGTTTATTAGCTAATTTAGAGTATACATATTTGGTTTGTGGATTATGTGCAAAATTTGAATTTATGAGAAAATTTTTAGACAAATGTAAGATTATTAATAATAAAATATATTCTGATATGATTATATAGTTAGAGATAAAAAAAATATTTTGACTTTATGTACTTTTGCCCTGTTAATGTAAATATGAAAATAAAAATTCCCGAATTTAGTAATTATTTTTTTCAATAAATTTGAAATATGTATACTTATAATGCTTATCACATTAAAAACATGACTAATTATCGCAATTGCTCTAAGTATACTGGAAACTGAAATTGTTTAGTGTTGTATTTATTACGATTATTTGATATTCCTGGTAAACTAAATCTTACTGCAGCTGATGTTATTGAAATAGAACTGGTGTAGTTTATTTTGTAAACCAATTTCATTTCGAAATACATGGTTATTGTATCATGCATCATCAATTTCAAAATAATATTATATTACGCTTATATTTGGAATTCTCATAATGTTTAATTTTAAACCTATTATGTATGTAATCTAGATGGAAATGAGCTCATTCCATATTTCAATTTGAGCTCCAATTTTTTAATTTCAAAATTCAATTTAATTATTTGCTTTAAAAAGCATTTTAAACATTTCAAATTTTAAACTCTAGTTATAAAATTATTAATTTTGAAATAAATTTAAAAAATATTTAATTTCGTTTAAATGAAAAAATGCTTAAATTAAAAATGAAAATTTGTAAACTCCCCATTTTTTTTTTTTGAAATTTTTTCCCAATTACTTATTACTTCTCTATTTTATAAAATTTCTATATTTTCTACATTTATGTACACGCATATACCATCAAATATATTACATATTTTCCATTTCACTCTCTTTTATAACTAATTTTTAATAAGAATGCAATAAAATTTTTACTGCAATTCAACTGCATTTCAATTTTCTAATAAAGGGGATGGATTACGGATATAATTTTAATAAAAAAAAAAAATGGAAAATTTTCAAAAATAAATCGAAAAAGAAAAAGAATTAAAATAAAGCGAATAATAATATATTTTCCTTTCCTCCTTTTTTTCGTTTTTGATTTTCAAAATGGAACCAAAATGAAATTTATTTCTGCTTCAGTTGATTCTGAATTTTTAACATAATTTTATATACCAAGTATTTGTATACTATTGAATTTAATATGCGCTATAGCCAGCCAAAGAAGAAAAGCTCTACATTTAAAAACTAAATTATTTTTTGACTTTTTCCTTTATAACAAAATCGAATATCTTAAATAAAAAATATAATATGTAATTTTTAACTTTAAAAAGACTTTAATTTTTTAAATATATTTTTTTTTTCTATAAATAAATTGGAAAAAATTTCCTTGCAATATTGATTATCGCTTCAGTTAACATTTTCCCCCATTAAAATTGCATTTCTTATTTATATTTCACTATACACAAAACGTTTATAAAATAAAACTTATTTGTTATACTAGTTATATTTGCGGTATTTGTACAAAATAATTTTGAAAATATAACAAAAAATATAATATTTTTGAAAATTTTAAAAATTAAATGTATCATATTAAAAATTTCTTTACCTTTAACTCTCTTTCTTCTTCAAGAACTTATAGGAAAACTTCTTGTTCCTCAGAGTCAAATACTTATCATTCTCAATTTCCTTTATATATAAAGCTTCTTAATTATTTATTAATTAAATTTTATTATAATTAATTAATTATACTTACTTCTTAAAAATTTTTTTCTTAACTAAATAATAGAGTATAAAAATTAAAGAAACTACTCCACAATTAAAGCATTTTTAAACTTTTACCACAATTAAATTTTATATAAAGTTCAAATGAATCTTACATAAAAAAAAACTGTAATTTTTAAGTGCTTTTTTTTCTCAAACTTTTAATTACAATTTTTTTACAAAATTTTTTGTTTTTTTGTAATCATTATAGAAAAGTTTGAATCGATTGAAGAGTAATTTGGCAGAATTAAGCAAGTTCACTTAATAAAAACATTTAAAAAAAATAAAATTTTTTTTTTTTCGGTGAAAAAATAGTTCAGTAAATTTTCTTTTTTTACGGTCACGTTTAAATTTTACGATCTATAATGCGCAATTTACTGGAAATTGTGTTTTTTAATACATTTTGTAATGAAATTGATGAAAAAATTTAATAAAAATAGTGCCAAATTTCATTTGTTCATCTGTCTGTCTGATTAAAAAGCCTTAATGCTTTGAGATTTTTATGGGAAAAGTAAAAATTTTAGTGAGAATATCAATTATCTGTATAACAAAAATTTAATTACAATTAGATTGTAGGCCAAAAATAATAGATGCTGTCGTTAAAGAAGCTTCCTCCAAAAAATTTTTTGCACATAAGAGCTTCCATCTCATTCATCATAGTACTATATAACTATGTTGTTATATTGTTATACCTGCCCTTTATATTGTTATATTACTTGATTATATTGTTATACCTGCCCTTTTTATTGATTTTTAAAAACAGTTTAAATTTTATAATGCACTACTTCAGATATGTTTAAATAAAAGTATAAGGAATTCTATTGATGCTGTAAAATAAAATAAAAAATTTTTATTAAAAAAAAATTTTCTACCAACTTAAATTTGCATTATATACATATATATATATTCATATATATAATATATACAGGACCAAAATGAAAATTTATTTGAAATGACATGTTGAATGAATAAACAATTCCCTTAATTTTGATAATAGAAAAAGAGTTTCTAATTATTTATATATGCGGAATAATGGCAACAGAAAAGATATTAAGAAAATGTGGTTAAATTAAAATTTTTCTTCTATTTTTGTTTTTTTTTGCCGCATACTTTTAAAATTTTCAGTTTAAACGTTAAAATCTCTTTGAGAGAAGAAATAATTTAAAATTTTATGAGAAATAAGCTGAAATAAATTATTTTTGGTATTTGACTTTCTTCTTCTTTGGTAAACTCTTTCTTTTTTTGAGAATTTTTCAAATGTATATTTGAAATACTTTTTTTTTTTTTTATTCAAAAATTCATTATTCAATTATTTGCAAAAATGAAAAAGTTTATTCACAATAAAATTTATTTTCTGAAACTATAAAATAATTATAAACTTTGAATAATTTCATTTTTTTTTTTCCGCGAACAAGTTTTCACATTAAAATTTTCTTTCTCTATACCATTATTCAAAAAGTAAAAATTTTCAAAAGAAAATTTTATAAAAAGTTGGTATTTTTATATATAGAGAATATGCAATTGAAATGCAATTGTTTGAAAAATTTAATATCTCATAGTTATCCTGCGGATCTTGAATAGTAGAACTTTTTAAAAATTAATTTATTCTAGTACGCACGTAGAAAAAAGTGTTTTATCACGGTATTACATTATAAATGTAGTAAAAAAATTACCTGTTTAATAGTCACTTAAATAAACGTTAATTACAGGATTATAATTTGATTTTTATACAGAAAATACAAAATTGTAATAGACCTGAAAAATATAACATTTTATTAAAAACAATTAATATTTTAATTTATTTTAATTAATTTATTTTAAAGAAATCAAAATCTGATTGGTTTTGTAGCTCTTATCAAAACGTCAAATACAGAATTTTATATAATTTAGAAAATTGTTCGCGAGGCATATTTAATGAAATACAAATAACTGTCCTCGTCCTCGAAATCAATGCTCTCGTAAGTGCAAAATAAAGCTTTCATAATAATTGAATAATTAAATAATTAAAAAATTTCAAGAAATTTAGATTACAATATAAGTTTCAGATTCGAATAGATTCAAAACTTGAAACCTATATTATTCGACAGAAAACTCCCATGTTTTTGAAATTTTTTCAATTTCCCTGCACTATCTCATATAACAGTAACAAAACTAAATTTCACTCTTCTTATATAGAAATAAATTTGGAATATAATATTCTATTTAATTTATTCAGTTGATGTTTTTTTTTTCCATTTATAATTTTACAATTACAATTTTAGAATTTTTGTATCTGACAGATGTATAAAATAAAAAGTTGGTACAAAAAAAAAGAAGGGTAGATAGTGTTCAAATGCTGTCATAAAAGTGATAATTTATTATTCCCTTAGAATTTCAGTTACACTTATACACTTATTGTATGTACTTACTTTATTGCATATACGTATAACATAAACGTTCATATTTTTTTCTGGATTATTCTATAGAGAAATATAAAAATTTATTTTCGTATAAAACTAAGTGTATAAGTGAATATGATCTTAAGCCTACATATTATTTAATACTCGATTGTATTTTACTTTTTTCGTTTCTCTATAGCGATTCTAGAAGTTAAAAAAATTCTTTCTATGATGGATTTCCAAAATCTATGGCAAAAATTTATATTGTGGCATATTTATGCTCCTTTCTATTCTACTTTAGAAAAAATTATCCCATTAAAATAAATAAACAATAAAAATTATATTGTTACACAAACTGCTTTCTGTTCTTAAAATTTTTATAATCACCACATTGTACACACAATATATAAAATTTTATGAATCATATTTCTTGAATTTTATAGATACTTTTACTATATGTCATTATCTTAATATATTGCAAGTATAAAGAACAAGAAAAGAAAAATTTAAATTATTAAATTCATTTTTGTTAAAAAGCAAAAAAAATATTCACTTAACGCAAAAAAACAAAATTAATTTCAGCCTTCCATAGAAGAAGTGCAAGAGAATTAATATTAAGCATATGTCATTTATTATGTCGTGTCAAGAAAAATTCTATTCCCATTTCATGCAGCCCCAGCAAATTTTCATCAATTTTTACACTTCATACATTTATTGCAAAATCTAGTATGCGCGTTTGTAGCGGAACAGGTCACTTTGTTAAAGGTCTTATACACTTTGTAAGATAGTGAAGCTGTTAAAGGTCTTATACACTTTAGTACATGTCAATGTATCATATACTATTATACAATTTCTCTATAAGTAGTAAATTTAAAAATGAATTATAATACCTCCTGTATTAAAACTGTTCACTTCTTATGGATATTTAACCTGTTTCGAATTGTACTGAAACAATCTTCCAACTAAAACTGCAGCATATTTTCCATAAGCGTTCCATATGCAATGATAGAACTTGCTTGCACACTTGCTATCGTAAATATGTTTAGATTCTATGTGTAATTAAAATGAGCCTTGTTTTCTTGGATCTGGTTAAATATAATTGCTTTCACCATTTCTATGACACACAAGTTTTATTGCTTTTTTTAATCATTAAGAGTTGCCATATTAAATTTTTCAATTTCATATTTATTGTCCACTAAAACATTAAAACACTGTATATTTAAGTGGTAAAGAAATACTAAATCTAATTACATATCGCATTGAAATTATACAGAGGAAAAAAATTATTTTAAAATTTTTAAAGAATGTTATTAATGAAAACCGCAGTAATTTTGTATAAACAAAAGCAATGGACCATCACGTAATAAATTTCACTAAAATGTAATTTTAATTCATTTTAAATTATCATGAGTTTACGAATATTTTTTGTATAAAAAAAATATATAAATCAAAAATTTAAATAAAAAAACAAATCAATTCATTTAAAATAAATAATATGAAAACCAAGTACCATCTTGTAAATTCATAATAGAACTGCACGCATAATTCGGCCGTAACATTGAATTTTAAAATGTCTTTTCTTTTCAGACAGCTCAAATATCAACAAACACATACTTACTCGTATATGTAATGAATAATGATTTAAAAAAATATACATATTATGTTTTCCATTCAATTTTAATCTTTAATATGAAGACTATTTTAAATAGAACACATAATATAAATAAATAAATACATAAATATATTATTTTTCATATAAGTATTATTTTAAAAATATAGAAGAAATCTCTCATATACATAGAAAAGTTTAAATGAAGTGAAAAAAATTCATTGCACGAAAATAACGCAATGACTTAAAAAATTTATGAATTATGAGAATCCAACAAAAATCCAATAGACGCAACGTGTATTATTTACATGACATATTATATATATAGCATTTATACATGATATATACGATATAATACAAATATATACATGATATTTTCGTGGTATATATGTAATATTATTCATATATAAGAGTAACCTCAAGGATAGGCCAAAAAAAAGTGAATACTCTTAAGAAAGAAAATGTGGAAAATCTTTGTTTTTTTTTTTTTTTTGGTTTCTCATACAGTTTCCAAAGTCAAAACAAAATATACCGTGTATGTATGTTGAAATAAATTTTTAAATATTGAAAAATATTTTTTTCGTTGACTTCAATCTCCGCAAAAATAGAAACAGCAAAAGAAATTTTAACAAAAGAAAAGTTTCAACAAAAAAAATGTTACATAATAAAATCGTCCTGTTTTTTTTTTTATAGAGCACACATTAATTGTTGTTTTGAATTTTTCGTTCGCGTTCTTTATTTTCTATTTGTGACGTTTTTTTTTTCTCTGTGTAAAGTTAAAAAAGTTTTAAATATTATAAATTCATATGTTTGTCATAAAATTATATAATTTTTTGAATACATACGCTTTTAACAAATAAAACAAAAAAAAAAAACATAAAAATATGCAAAATTTTTGAAAAACACATAAAAGTGACAACAAAAAAAACAATGAGGAAAAAAGGACACAATTTTCCCTTTATACTACTGAAAACATAATTTTTTTATAATAAATTTTTAGTTTTAAAATATTTTATGTATATATTGTTTAAAAGAGTGTGACAAGTATGACAATTCAATTTAATTGTATAATGTAAAAATAAAATTGCAACATTCCTATATTTGAATTGAGTTTAATATAGAAATGAATTATTAAAATTTAAACGACTTGTTACAGCAGGGCTAGGCTTTTAGAATATATGAAGTGCCTCACCAATAATAGTCGAATTTAACGCCCTAGTAATACGAATACGCGCAGTTCTCTGAACATTACACGTTTTGGTACGATTATATGTCTTCTTCATCGACGGCCACCGCACAAACGCTCAATAGGCGAGGATTGGTCGCACAACCGCTGTGTACAACCATATAACTATGTCAGGTTTCAATCCCCACCGCTTTCCAAGAATTTTCTTGTACGTGTAGGTCTTACTCATCTTTTCCCCCATCATATACCTCCGTGAGAGTATTTAGCCGCCGGAGTAACAGCGAGGGGAACAACACCCAGTCTTGGCAGTTACTAACCCGGAATTTTGGTTTTCGTAGTAAAATTAATTACAATTTAACACAACAAATCATACACATTCCTACTTTCATTTTTAAATATTGTTAGAAAGAACATTTTACATCAAATTTGTTTAAAAGGATTTAAAATAATTTTATAACATTGGGGAAAGCATTAAAACTTCTTCATATTTATATTTACGTTTTAAGTGCTTACATATCATACAAAGGCGACACTGTTGTTTACGGTAACTCAAAATTTTCAAGTTTCAGAAAGCTATTATAATATTAGAAATTGTTTTCTTATAATTCGCTAAACCTTTCATTTTATTTCCTATATTATTAAATTGAATAATCGGTTTTAATGATAACAAAATATTTTCTATAGGTCCATGGAATATGTCCATTTAAAAAAAAAATTCAATTGTCCTCCAATTTAATTATTTTTCGTTGTGTATTTTTAAATGTAATAAACGCTATTTCTTACATTATAATATTAAAAGCTGTCTAAAAAAAATAAACGGAAAAAGAAAACAAAAACTCAGAATATAAAATAATTTCCGACATTATTTCATTAAGTGGCAATAATTTAATATCGTTATAATGTCATTCATTGTCAGTGAGTACCCATGTACACTGCTAATATTTACTCGTATATATACCAGTGTATTAATATAATTGTCATTCTGACACATAACGATACAAATGATACAAAGTAATGAAGATAACACATACCTATGTCACAATATTATGTAATGAAAAAAAAACGTATATTTTAATTTATATTTGTGTGTTATAAATTTAAAATAAAAGAATTTTGAAAAAAAAAAAATATAATCGAAACTAGATTCACATCAAATTTTAAGATATTCGCTTGAAAGTTCATTAATTAATCGTACAGAAAAGTTGATACAATTTTATTGTTCAAAACACTGTTTTTTTAAATTTTAATATCTGAAGCTAAACATACAGGGGTTTATCCTGAGTGCTATTTATTCATTATGAACGCAGCATGCGGTTGACGGGGAAAAAAATAGTTTCTGTGTCTTAAATGTGCAATATCATATTTGCACACAAAGTATAAGCACACCAAACTTGAGTTTTCAGTGTCAAGCGCTCAGCTTTGGAAATGAGAAACTATTTTGACTGCGTTTGAAGTTCACAACATATTTTTGCTAGCTTTATAAAGAATTTTAATGTTTCAAAAACTCAAAGTAACCGAATATAAATTAGAAACACAAGCAAATCATAATTGTTATTATAAACGAAATATAAAATTTATACTAGATCATATGAGAATGAGTAGATTTTAAAATATACAATATAATATAGCTAAATTATGTAATGATCGCATTATTATGATAACGGTTAAATATTCAATATTTTTTACAATATTTTAACAGTAATTTAATATTTTTTTAACATATTTCTATTCACTTCACTTTTTAATATTATGATATTTTTGTTCTTTTTTTCTTTTGCAATATATTTTTAGCGCTGATGGAAATTATGAAGTAACAATAATGACAAAAGCCATATTACATCATACAGGGAAAGTGGTATGGAAACCTCCTGCCATTTATAAGTCGTTTTGTGAAATTGATGTCGAGTATTTTCCATTCGACGAACAAACTTGTTTTATGAAATTTGGTTCTTGGACTTATGATGGTTACATGGTATGTACATACTTGCACATTAAAAAAAAAGCTACAATTTTCTTCCATTTTAATACAATTTTTAGTTATAAAGTTCATTTTAATATTTAATGGAATTTTTTTTTTTATTGATATGCACATAAATGAATATTAGCATCAAAATACATATAGATGTATATAAAAATATTAGTACATGAATATGCTGAAAATTCTACTGCATAAATTTTAAAATTACTATAATGCATAAGTGTTATAAAATTCTCATAAAACAAAAAAAATGTTTTCATATAAGTGTAATGAAAATTTTAAGCATCACTCATATATTGAGCTTTATATTATACAAGTGTAAGTGTATAGTTTAATAACATATAGCTTACTTAGGAGGAGAAAACTATTTCGATGACGATGTCATAAAATAGATATATACTAAAATAGATTACACATACAATACTTTAATTAAATATGAATAAGTACATTTGACGATGTTGAATAAAATTTAATATGATGTTAAGTGTTATAATGTCTACCTATGCGTTTAAGTATATAATGTGTTTATGTTCTATACATTAAATAATATTATATTGTACGTCAGTTAAAATGCATGCTAATATTTGCATTAATATAAGTTGAATATTTGAGTAGAAATTATTATGTCGCCCGTATCAATCCAAATGAAAATGTGAATAAGGCAAATTTCTTCACAACACTTAAATGCAATTTAAAAAAAAACTAAATAATTTTAGAAAAGCACTTATACGTATTCAATTAATTACTGAAAATAAATTAACAATTTCATTGACATTTTTCAATAAAATTTGCTTTTGATTTTGTTCTCTAATAAATTTCCATCTCCCATCATAGTTAAATACGAGTACACACATCGAAAATTTAATTTTCCTACACCAAATTTTAAAAAATTTTGAAAAAAATTATACCGAAAAATAAAATATAGAAAATGTTACAAATAAAAACGATTAAAATTAATAACCATTCAATTAATTCAGTTTGTCATAATCATTATGATATTATCATTGATAAAAAAAAAATTTTTAACTTCCTTTATCTTCCTATTTTCCGCCCAACATATTTTTTGTACAAAATTTGTACTCGTACTTTATAGAAAATTTTAATGTAAATGTTTATCGTATATTCGCATTGATTCAATGAAATTTTGTAAGTGTCTGTTGATTTCAATGAATAACACTAATCAATCTATTGTTTAACTAAAATATAAACAAACCGAGGAACCATAAATAACAATCCATCAAAAGATGGTAAAAATTCGTTTGTTGGTTGAATAAAAATTAAACAGAAACGCCAAGAGAAAAAAAAAAAGAAAAATTTTCTCTTTATGTCATCAATTTTTCGATATCTTTGCTAGCGTAATGATATAAAGCAATATGTTGTTAACACCAAATATTGTTTGTACATGACTATATGAGTTTTTTTATAAATTCAAACGACCTTTTAAAAATTTTAAATCAACTTTTTTTTACTTTCCAATAGATCAGCTTGAAACTTTATCTAAACAAATGAAAGCTTTCAAATTATCATTAAATAACTATTATTTTTATTAAATAACTATTCTCTTTCTAAAATGCTGTTGTAAATACTTAAAACATTTTTTATTAAAATTTCCAAATTAACCAATTAATTTTTTTAAATGGATAAAAACTTCTCGATATTGTATAATATATTTAAAATGTGACGAATGTGTCACATGATCCAAGTTGCAAACCAAAAATTTTTGATAATCTCAATTTTGATCGATCCAAAGTTGTAAAATTTAAGTATTGTAAACGCAAAAAAAAATGTTCATAGCATGTTTGCATTTGGTTTGATTTGCCTTCAACTTTCAAATTTCTACTTATTCTCATTAAAGGCATTAGAACCCATAGTTTTTTTCAAAAATTTTAAGTGATCCATTTCATTCATTCCTCGATTTTCTTTCTCATGTAATAATTTCGAATGTTAAATTGTCTCAAAAATCTTAATATAATATAAAATATTTCAATTCAGTCTTGTTTTTTCGGTTTCTTAAAAATATTTTCCTCTAACATTATTTAGTGTTACTTTAAAAAAAAAAAACTTCTTTGAATCCTTAAAATCTTAACCTTTAATATATTTTACTCATTCCATTTATTCTGAATTATATTTTCGTATTATATCAAATGGCTTTAGAATACGATGCCATTTTTCTGTATTTTATGTTTTCTGTCATCATGTTGTCAATATATCATGTTGCTGTATTAGCTCTAATATTTCATCTATTTTTTTACTCACCTATTGTATACTTTAATGTATATTAAATTTAGTTACCCATAAAAAATGTTAACAGAAAAACAATATTGATTTGGATAAATTATGAACAAAGAAAAGAAAAAAACAACACATTCAAAAAAGGAAATATGTCAAGTTTTTATCCTTAAGAAAAATTCCTCTAAAAAAAAAAGGAGAGGACAAAAAACAAAACGAATTGGAAAGAAATTTTTTTTTTTTTTGAGGAATCAACAAAAAAAAAAATTTGTTTTATGATAAAAATTACATAAAATTTCAGTTGCAAATTCTTATTATAAGAATTTTAAAGTTTATTTTATTCAGAATCATCTAATTTTCAAGTTTAGTCGTAAATTTTATGAAGGGAAAAATATCTCAATAAAATGATATAGACTAGAATCTAGATCATGATAAAATTGAAATTACAAATCGAAATTTTTACATTCTGTTTGATGATCACTGTCACATCAAATTTAAAGGAAATAAGATGTATACGATTCTTTTCTGTTAGGGAGAAGTTATTTTCAAAGACCTTTCATACTTTGAAAATAAAGTAGTTCAATACATGAGCAGTTACAAAATCCATACTAATTTAATTAAAAACTATGTAGTTGGTATATGAAGGAGTTCAATATAACTATTTTTAACAGGATACATGCCTGTCTGTGCATTCCTGTGTCTTAAGTTCGGCTAAACTGATTTTTAAGAAAATTAATTCGTTCAATTTTAGCTTGAGAAGAATTAAGCAATTTCTAATTAATGAACCTTTGCTACACGCATCGAATTCACCGACTATAAGGTTTGTTATGTGCTAACTACAACAATTTAGTTTTTATTTCACTTTATTGTAAACTACATATTTGTATTTTAAAAACCATTAATCTTAACAATTTGAATATGAGTTCTTCAGGAAATAATTTTCTTCCATTTTCTAAAACTATTTGAAGTTCTATTTATTAAAAACAAATGGTTGCTAATGTAATAATTTATCCGATTTCATATGAATATGAATTAATATTTACATATAACAAAACGCGGTAATGTGAAGGGTTGCCATATTGATTCGAAAGCATATCTCAAAATAAATTTAAAGTAAAATATGATTTTTTTGAAAAAAAAAAAATTGCATTACATGGAATTGTAAAGTTATTTGTAATATTTTGGTACAAGCGAAATTTACCAAAATCATATTGTTTTTTCAGTAACAGCTATTACTTATGAAAACGTCGGCTTATTAAAAAATAAATTACTAATTCGAATGTTGTATAACAAAATAATCATTGAAAGTTATTAAACGATTCTAAAAAATATTATTATTTCCCACGGTATTACATATTTTATTGGAGAAATAAATTTTAATTAATTCGTTTAACACTACGTATTTACTATCATTAAAATTTAGATTATTTCGTGCAGATTATAGACACTGTGTCAACATTTTTAATGGGAACGATTATTTCTGCATTCACCATATCCAAACATGTGTTATTACAGACGTTATATCAGCAGTTTCGATAAAAATAAAATAACTATAATAAAAAATATATAATTTCCCACTTTCTGAAAGTGTATTTTGACCCGCCGATAACTTATATTACATGTATGCGTATTAATAAACAACAAAAATCAATATTTGAAGAATAAAATAAAATTTCTGCAAGATGCCATTGAAATGCTTCGGATCCCAAAATTAATAACTTCAAATATCTGAATATAATATTAAATTTTATGTGTACACACACTACCGTATAATATTTCTTACAATCAACAATTCATAGATATTTAGCAACTCTAATTAATATATATGAAAAATATTCCCTTGCGTAGCTATATTTGAAAATAATAAAGCTCATAATTCACTCAAAAAAAAAAAAACTTTAGTTATTATAAATGTTATCCCATATATTATCATGTTAAATTTCCGGTTTTTTCATATAAAATGTCGCTAAAAAGGAAAAAATGGAGGCCAAAAATAAATAACAGGAAAATCTATAAAATCCAACAACAATACCAAAACATGGAAAGAAAACGAAAAATTAATAAAAATTACTGACATGAAATATTTTTTTTAACTTTCTTAAATGGAGTTCTGAGAAGACAAGGGCAAACACCATAAACTCCATTCATCTCCGAAACTTTTTGTCACTTGCCTCACTCGTCGAATTTGGTAAGGTTTAGTAGTTTTCAGGCTGGGCTCCATTACAAGCCAGTCTTTATTTTACATTTACTTTTTAAGAAATGATACAAAATAAAGTAGAGACCCATAGAAGAGTCGCTTGAAATGAAAAGTGATTTTGTAAATTCTCTTACAAATTTTGAAGTATCAAAGCTTTTTTGTCAAGAGTAAAGTTACGTGGCTTTGAGTGGCGTGACGTGACGTAACGTATATTTTACACTTATTATCGATGACTTGGCGTGGAGTTGCGTCGTGGCGTGACGTGACGTGACGCGAAGTGACGTGACATGACGTGACGTAACGTATACTTTACATTTATTATTGATTTTACGATATTTGGGAAATGAAGATGTTGAAACGAAAAATATTCTCGAAAGTCTTCCTATAGTTTTTTTATCATTTTCATCTTTTTTTTTTCAAAGTTTATGGAAAAAGTTTTTGTAAGTTCAGCAGAATATTAACTTCATTGTTATTACTCCTATTACATACTGCATACACATATGTACATAATGTACATATATTTAAATAATGTATATTTGTATACCCACATCCACATGTGTATATTTAATTTTTTATACAAAAATGAACTTAAATATGTATACCAACATTGGAAATCTACACATTAAATTTACGTAGTACATTTTTATACAAATTCAAGAAGATGTGTACATATGGGTCATAATAAAATTATAGATTGTCATTATCCTTTGATGGTTTTGAGTGTTATATATTATATAATAGAGATTTTCGCTGCTATTATTTTCTTTTTTAATATTTTGATGGCAATACAATAATTTTATAATTTGGTCAGCAAAAATACTATGTTCGTTATAATAATATAATAAAGTTGGGTCAAACCAACGGTTTGTATTGTAGCACTTTTCCCTTCAACAAGTGAAAATTCTGCTTTTAAATACAGTCTATGTATACCTATCAAACTATTAAAATTATTTTCATTCATATACAAAACTATTTCTAGAATTGCATATATTTAGGATGACGCATATATGCAGTGTTTGAAATAAAGCAAAAATTAATATAAAAAGGGGTTAACATAATGCTCGATTTTAAGGGTTAATTGTGTGAGTTAAGAGAAATAATTATATTTTTTAATTTCATGGAATTTACCGTTAGCTTTTTGCGTTTATAAAAATTTGGAAAAGCTTGCGGTTTTGGAAATATAAGGTGTCAAAAATTCAAATTTTACAAATTTCAAGAGGTGATAACTTGAGAGGGGGTGGAGATGGAAAAAAATTTTCTTCTAACGAAATGAACTATTTGTTAATGTCTAAAAGCTCCTAAAATTTCAAGCTTCTACAGGCTGGGGTCTAGAAGAAAAATGACATCAAAATTTGGAACAAAAATACTTTAGATAACGGTAAATTTGAACGGCCATTTTGTTTTTCTAAAGTTTAACTATAGTATATCACGCTAGGGGAAGCAAGCCACTGCCTTTCTGCGTTTGCAAAATTTCAAAAATGCTTATGGTTTCATTGCAACAAATATTTAAAAAAGGCCATTTTTAGAGTTTTGGGGGGGTATAACTTCTAGAGGGGGGGAGATAGGTAAAAATTTTGTTCTACGGAAATAAGTTTCTAGTAAAGATCTATGTACGTATGAAGTTTCAGCTTTCTATCTTAGAGGGTGTAGAAGTTTTGTAAACAAAAAAAGTGTCCACGGACGGACGGACGGACGGACGGACGGACGGACAGAGTGAAACTAATAAGCACTTTTTTCAAAAAATTTTTTGGAAAAGTGCTAAAAAGGAAGGATCCAATATGAAGTGGTACTCCTTATATTGTCATTTCTTTAGAAAGAGATTTAATTTTTTTATTATTTTTTAAAAATATTAAAAAAATAAATTCAATAAAGATTTGATTGCATTGAATTTATGTTGTGAATTAAAATAAAAGTTACTGAATTTCCATTAAATTCAAAAATTTTTACACATTCTAAAAACCGTGTGGATAAATAATTTCCAATTAATTGGAATTTAAGAAAGCAATAATTTCAATTTTTCAATTCATTTGCATAACTGGTTGTTTATAATAATATATTTGTGTATAAATTTTATTTAATAATTTGTTGAGACCATAATAAGTGAAATAATTTCCATATTAATTATTTATAGTTTCCCTGCAATATTTTATGTGATGAAATTTTTACAATAACCGTTCAACCTTCAAAATTGTGTTCAATATTTCTATGTACTGCAAGTTTATGAAATAATTTTTATTCTTGCAAAAAATGAACTACAATTTTTAACAAATTTGTAACCAGTCTTTCTATACAATTTTTAAAATCTAATTTTTTTATTATTTTTTTTTTGTTTTTAATTTCAGGTTGATTTAAGGCATTTAAAGCAAACACCCGATTCAGATAATATTGATATTGGTATAGATTTACAAGATTATTATATATCAGTTGAATGGGATATATTAAAGGTGCCAGCTGTACGAAATGAAAAATTTTATAGCTGTTGTGAAGAGCCATATTTGGATATAGTATTTAATTTAACAATTAGACGTAAAACACTTTTTTATACAGTTAATTTGATAATACCATGTGTTGGTATATCATTTTTATCAGTATTAGTATTTTATTTACCAAGTGATTCTGGTGAAAAAATCTCATTATGTATTAGTATATTACTATCGTTGACTGTGTTCTTTTTATTATTGGTTGAAATTATTCCACCAACATCGTTAACAGTACCGTTACTTGGAAAATATTTGTTATTTACTATGATGTTAGTTACACTATCAGTTGTCGTTACAATCGCTGTATTGAATGTTAACTTTAGGTAAATATTTTTTATAATAAAAAACTATTAACAAAATTAGTAAAATTATTTATTTTTAAAATTCTGAAACCTTTTACAAAACTTTTCTTATTAGAACCTTCATAAAAGAAAACATTTTTTTTTTTATTTTTTTTAACAATTTAAAGGTCACCCGTAACACATAAAATGGCACCATGGGTTCAAAGAATATTTATACAAATATTACCAAAAGTTTTATGTATTGAACGACCTAAAAAAGATGATTCAAACGAAGATGAACAGCAACCACCCGAAGTGTTAACAGATGTATTTCAAGTACCGCCAGATGTTGATAAATTTGTAAATTATAGTACTAAGCGATTTAGCGGCGATTATGGTATTCCTGGTAAGCTATATATTTATATATGTATGATTTTATATTTAAAAACTGTTTAATTAAATCAGAAAATGTTGTACTCATGTCAAACAAAACTTGGTATTAGGGCCAAATTCTGTTTATTTATTAAATGAGCAGCTAACCAGATGCTTTATTATATGTTGTCCCGAATGTTACCCCAAGCAGTATACAATACAGCTTCGGGATACAAAAAGAATGACACAACTCAAAAAACTCATATAACTTGGCTCTTGCATAGTTCTATGAAGTTGCTCCTAAAAAGGGGACCTACGAGCACACCAAATCAAAACTTTCAATGTCTGCATTCACTAAGAATTGGTTTGTTACTTAATTAAAAAGTTAATAAAATTACAAAAGCAAAAAATACAAATAAAAATGTGAATTTAATTTTAAAATGAAAATTTCTCATCCATTAAAAGTGCATTTTTACTGATGCATACTATATAAGGCAAGTTATGTGATGGCACAAAAATTAAATTATGTGATTGAACTCACTTCTACATTGTAGAGAAGCGTAAAAAAATTACTTCGAGAGATATGTCGGTCTGTCTGCGCACACGAGTATTTAAAATTCGGCTGAACTAAATTTGATGAAATTTTCTGGTGTGATTTTATTTTGGCTATGCCACGGACACGGATTGATCAACTCAATTTAAATTTACGGCGTTAAAACAATCAATCTATAATTTTTTTGGAAAGGTCAGGATTTGGAAACCGAATTGGAGTTAGATTTTAAATTTCTTGAAATTTAACACGTTACCGCAACTAACTGAGAAACTTTTCATGTAATTTGGATGGTACAAAACGGAAATTTGCTAAAAGCGAAATTTATATTTTTGCAGTTTACTAAAAGCCTATTAACTTCTTAAATAATGGAAACATTTTTTAAAAGACACTTCATACTCAAAAGGCATGTTTAATAATCTTCTGTAATACTTTCGCTAAACTAGACAATACACTTCGTTATCGGTTAGGTGCTGATCTCATCAGATTTTTTTTTGGATTTCATACATGGATACAATTATTTTGATTATTTTTTTGTGTTAATTAAATTATTATAATACATACTTATAGTTCATGTTTTTTCAGTACATATGAATTTAAAAAATGCAAGTGGTAACCTTATAATCCCTACACTTTGCTTTTTAATGCACTTAAGTGTACCAATTTTAGAGCTCTACAGAGAATTGTAAACTTTTTAATTTTAATTATATTTTTTTTTTTGCATGGATAGGAGAAAAAACTTTCAAATAAAAGCTATGCAATGTGTACAAATAAAATTTATTTTCAAAGTAACCACTAAAAATAATTCGTTCAAGGGTAAAGTAATTTTTCACAACGATAAATTCACTTTTTTTGTGTAAAAATAAAACAATTTTTTTTCTCAGAAGTAGTAAATTTAAAATAAAAATTTTTTAAATCTAAAATTTTTTATTTTAATTAATAATATTCAAGGACACTTTATAGAAAAGATTAATTCAAAAATGTTAAAAAAAAATTAAAATTGAAAATTTCATGACAAATTTTCTTTTCCACATCTTTTCACACTCCGAAATACTTCTTATCCTATTTCTTTTAAAAGGTTTCTCCAAAAGTACGTAAAGATTTTGTCTACTACAGGAAACTGTTTTGATTCTCACATTGTCATCTACATTCGTTGAAAAAATAAAAATAGCAAATCAGAATTTTCTTTTTCTAGTAATGAAAGTTGAAAGTGCAACAAAAAATTTAAAATACCCAACATAAGTACCTCGATTTTTACAAATTGTGGTTCAATAACCACGAAAGCTATATTGTTGGTTTAATTCTCTTTTTCTTTGTACTTCTTATTTCTCTTAATTTAATCTAAATGTAAATTTCTTATTTTTTTTTTATATATCCATATAAAATACTGTTATATTCATACCGCAACTGTTATAATGATCACATCATTACTACAGGATTTAAATTTTATTATACTTACTTGCATTTTAACTAGATATACAATATTAATAATGAAAACTATTAGAATTTTTATTTCTAAAAATGAGTATTTTCACACCAGAAAAGTGTAATAACTTTTTAATTATCTTAAATAAAAATTTAAATTTAAATAAAATTTACGCTTTTAACTGTTTGTAAAACGAAATAAATACATACATATATACATACACTTTAAAATTTTTGATAATAAGATGTTTGTACTTGAGTGAGTACTTTTTATTTGTTGCAGCTTCTCTATGCCAAACACTAGATAATTAAATAATATTTTGGAAACTCGAAAACTACTAAATGTTTTGAAATTATTTTTCAAGTTTAAAACTATAAGACACTTTTGACATAATACTTATTTTCATAAGTATTATTTCAATGGTATGTCAATGGTGTTGAGATTTCATAAATTTTTTAAATACTAAGAAGTGTCCTAAAATCAAATATTACTTTTCGTAATAGAAGATATACGACATGAAATTTTAAAATTAAAAAATATTTTGTAGCAAAATTTTATAAAAAATAATTGCTTTTTTGTATTAATATAAAATATTAAACATAAAAGTTCGTAAAATTTGCATTTAATGTCTTTGTGCATTATTTTTATGCAAAAATGTTGTTACGAGTATAGCAAGTCTTTAAATTCACATACATTTTAATAATTTCATAAACATGTTAATTAAAATTATATTTTAAGTAGAAGGGCATTAAAAATTTACTTATAATAATAAAATAGACAAATTTTTGTATTTGTATGTATCACAATTTTTATGCCCCTAAAAATATGCAATATATGCAGTAAAAAGAATTCAATTGTAGAAGAAGGTATTAAAAGAGTTTATATACGTCTTCAAAAAACCTTTAAAAAATTAACAACTAAAAAAAACTAAAGTGTCTCAAAAACAAAATGCTAAGAAAATTTTTAAATTTATTTTTAATTATTATACACAAAAATTTCATGTACTTTCATCTTTACAAGCCCATTTAGTCGTAATAACAACATTAAGGCTTTGAAGATTTTAACTTAATTTAAACATTAAAACTTTATTTCCTAAATTTTTATTTTCTGATTATAGCCGCATTAATGTAATGAAAATGACAGATTTTTTATCCAATAAATTTAAAAAAAAAATGATCTGACGATCTTAATGCGCTCTTTATGTAAATTAAAATACAAAATCAGATAGAAGCATTTAATAAATCCAGTGATTTTTTTGAAAGAGATTTTCGGTCTTTAGTCTTAACCTTGAAAGCTCCCGGAATATGTTGCTCATCTTCATCTGCTTGACAGCTCAACTCTCATGACTGGCATCAAGAACAGACATTGTCAGGCCCTCACTAGCCAATATGATGTCCACCATGGTTCTGACAGAAGCAGGTATGGAGCACATCCCGTTCATGTGAAGCGTTTCAAATAAGCTCCAGTCTGTGTGATGAGGAAGCCAGTACGTCTCTTCCGCGAAACCCCCCGGGATCGTGATGTTAAATCTGATCGCCTGTGGTCAGATATAGATGTCTTTTATAGATTGCTAATAAACTTAGTGCATAGAGTAATATCAAGGACTTCCTCCCTGATCATGTTCACGAATGTTAGCCTATTGTCTTCAGTAATAATTGCTAGTTTATTACTATATATAAATTCAAGTAAGTGGTCACGTCTCTTATTTATATCGTTGCTTTCCCAGACGGTGTGGTGTGCATTTTCACCACTTCCTATTTTCAGTTGGAAGTTCCTCCTTCCGCTGGTCCACTAGGTTCTTCAACTACTCATCTGGACGGTCATAGTCTCCCGTTTGATAGTATGAGCATGCAACAAACTCTGTCTAACCCCTCTTGGATATCATTGAAGCCACCTGATCCTCATAGCAAAAATGTGGAGTGCGAACATTTTTAGTCTTTCTTTAAACAAAATACAGAACCTAGTCCTAACCCTAGTTGTATTAACATACAATAGCTCATCTGATAGCCCGTTAAAGAGGGCGATTTCGAGGTGATCCTTCATAATTCTATTAGCCAGGACATCCGTAGATGCTCTTGCATGATGTACCAGTTCAATGGCATGCCATTAGAAGGCTTATTTAAGCTGGAAAGCAAATGGTATACAGAGTTCGCATATTAACAACTCAGCTCCCATATCATATAGGATATGGGCATATCATGCTCTACCTTGACTTTGGACGCTTCTCGTCAGCTGATATATGAATATAAGTCTGAAAGTTACAAAACAAATGATTCGCCGCGAGATATAGCCACGACACTAATATAACTTTAATCATTTCAATTACCATTTTATTACCATTTACCGGGGCTCACCACTAGGACGTGATAGTGCAATTTTGAATTCCAATCTTTAAACTATACATCATTTATTCATATAATAAAGAGCTTTAGACTTAAATTAAAGCATAAAACTGATTTACATATTACTAAAAATTATTAAATTATAAATTTTTTAAAATTTTCTTTTTAATATAAATTATTTTATAAATTTACAAAAAAAAAAATTTTCTCAATTGTTACAGCCTTGCCACCATCACATTTTGATGTTGTAGCATCCGGTGGTGTTGGACCATGTTTTGGTGAACCACCATTACCAGTACTGCCATTACCCGGTGCCGATGATGATTTATTTAGTCCATCGGGAAACGGTGAAATTAGTCCTAATTGCTGTCCTGCCGACATTAGTCCAACATTTGATAAACCATATTTAAGAGAAATGGAAAAAACAATAGAAGGTTCAAGATTTATAGCGCAGCATGTCAAAAACAAGGACAAATTTGAAAGTGTAAGTATAAGAATATTTTAAAGATTTTAATAAAATTCTCAAAAACTACTTAAAAACTTATGTTGTCGAAAATCATTCAGTTTATCAAAAGTGAATTCTTATTAATTTTTTACATTAATTGAGAAAATATATTGAAATATTAATTTTAAAAAAATTATGAAATTTAATTCAATTAATAATTGGGTTAAAACATTCATTTAACTCAATTTTACCTATACAATATACAATTATTATTCCAAAGTGTTACCCTTCCCCTATTAAAAGTTGTACTGCTTTTATTCTATTGAATAAGAAAAACTACATTTACGGAAACTTTCAGTCATGGAAATAGTATAATCAATGTAAAATTTAAATTACAATAATAATTATATATGTATAATTATAATTGATTATAAAAACTTATGTACAGAATAAAAATTTAATGAATTTGTTTATTCGGAAAATAAATATTATTTTTTATAATTTTCACATTTCGCTTTCCGAATGGTAACAGAATAATAAACTTAACATTTATAATACAATTTTACAATTCAATAAAACATTATTAACAAATGAACTCAATAGTTATCAGAAAGTTAAATTTTATATTTTATTAATTATTCAGGTTATAAATGATTAAAAGTTTTTTTTGTTATTCTGATTGAATCAATAATATTTTTACATGTAACTAACCGTTATAAATTAACAAAAAGAAAATTTTTCAATTTGATTAAATCTAGGCACCAATATAACCAACTTTTCTTTTAGCATAACCAATTGCTGTTTTTTGTTTTTGTTCTTTTCATTTTGTTTTTATTTTCATTCTTTCTTTTACCCTTCAATATTCTCCTTTTTAGTCATTATCCTACTATATTTTTCTATCTATTCAATTTTTCATTTTTATTTTGGTTTTCTTATATTAACATTCGCCCAAAATATCAAATGAACCAAAATGACCTTTCATTGTAATTCACTTGGGAATGAAATTTTTCATTTCCGTTTAAAACACAAAAAGAAAAGAATACCAAAAAAAAAAAAATTATACTCTGGGATGCTAAGGGAAAAACATTGGAAAAGAAATTTTCAAAGTTAATAAAAGAAATTGTGTGTATATATTAAAAAAGAGCTGCCATTTATGGTACGATAAAAATGTCAATGTTGTTACAAAATTCATATATATATATGTATATATATATATTTAAACACATTCCATGTAACTGTGTAATAATTTTTAAAATATATATACTTATATAAAAATTGAAGTGTGTATGCAAGTTGAAAGAGTAAGCAGTAAATTATCTTACAACTATACTCATATACAAGTATATATATATACATAATATGCAAAGTAATTTTATGATTATCAATTGGCAATCCATTGAACCCATGAAAATAAGTTAAATTGCAGTTTTAACATATTTCATATCTTTTGCAATAATATTGTTTCCACATAATTTTTCCATTTATCTGAGATTACAATATTTTTGTTTCTCCTCATTTTTATCAATTCTTATACCATGTGAATATAGTTAGTTCCTCATTAATATGGTTAATTTTTTAATTTTATCAAAGTAATAAATTGCTGAAATTTTTTTCGTTACACATACCAGAACAAACACTATAGTACAAACAAACAAAATATTTTTCCATAATAAGTACTCATTCGAAAGCTTTTAATAATAACTGTAATCTTTTGTTGACATTGCAATTTAAATATTAAATCAGATTCTCATTACATATATAGCGGAATTTTAAAATGTACGCCTAATAAAACAAGCATAAATTCGGTTTAAAGAGCTGTTCAAAATATATAACTATTCTGAATGAAAAAAGTTCCACCTTAAAATTATATCGGATGTGTGAACACGTATAATATGTATTTGATATGCGTTTTATTAAATGTCCTTTGCCACTTAAGTGTTTTAAATTTAAATTCGTAAAATTATGAAAAACTCACTTATATTACATTTTCTTTTCATATTACTAAAAATCAGCTTAAAATCAGTTTTCACTTCATAATCACAAAATTATTGTTTAATTAAGAAATTCAAATTTCATGAATAATAATTATTAAAACATTAACATATTTATACATACACCATGTAATAAAAATTTCTAATTAAATATCCTTCCATTTTTTGCTTCCAAATATCCTTTGTAAAACATTCTTTATTGTTAAAAAATTTCTATGGTAAAAATTAAGCTATGTTTAACATTTTTATAATTACAAAGTAAATTGATTTCAAAAATGAATATAAATTATTTGTAATGCCGTAGTATAATAATGACCGTTTGTAAAATTCTAATTAACAGTCCGTGTTAAATTGTACAAAAAATCAAATCAAAAACAAAATGAAAACCGAATTGTTCATTTATTCACTGAATAACTAACCAAAAAAAAAAAAAAGGAAACAAATACGTCACCATTATATCCAAAAATTTGAAAATTTTTACATTTTTAAAGATGACTTCTTTCAAACGCATACCATTTTTTTTCTTCTTCTGTTTTCTTTTTGTAAAACTCATTTACGTTTTTACGATTTACGTACACTATAAAAACTCAAGGATAAAATAAATTGTTCGTTTCTTTTTTATTTGGTATTTCTGTTCTCGTTTCTTCTTCTGTTTTTTTTTTTTAACAAATAATCTAATTTTACTATTTAATCCTCATTTTCTTCATAATTGACGTAATATAATTTTATAGTTCAAGGTTTATCCATTATATAAAATTTTTGGGGCATTTTTTGGTTATACCGTTATTTTTATTCAATTCGCTTTAATTTTTTTGTGGATTGGTATTTAGTTTTTCTGAAGAATTTTTTGGTTTTTCGAAAAGTATTTATATTATATAGGAGGTTATAATTTGTAAATGAATGCGTTTTAAGTTAAGAGAGAAAATTTTGTTTTAATTACCTATATAGGAAAAATATACATATACGTATATTTTGTATTTTATTTAATGATGAATAAATTTTGGTTTTTCATTTAAAGTGTATGTACAAATTTTTATTTATTCTTATGTACCATTGAAATTTCATCAGAAATGAAATACATAAACATGAAATGAAAAAATTGTTTTCAAAGAAATTTTTATAGCTAACTAATTAATTAAAAAAAAATTATTTTTATTTTGGAACTGATAGTAAAGTTTGTTTTTTAATAAATAAGTATATATTGAATGTATATATAATTACAATTTGATTATTGAAATCAAAACTGACCTGCAGTAGGGCTGTATTAATGAAAGGCATTATATGATATTCAATGGGCCAATGATTTTTACAAATGCAAGGGAAACTCGTTTGTTAAGTTAAGCCTTTGCATAAAAGAAGAGGACACCATTTTGAATAGTTGTTCTAAATTAACATTTAGAGTACTCTATTTTTCTCAATAACTGCTAAACCAGATTATGATGACTCATATACAAAATAGGATAATTTTAAATTTTTGCTTTAAATATTTTTATTCTTAATAAATTTTTATAATAATCAAGTTTAAATTTTATTCAATTTTGAATTTTTTTCTTTTTTTATATTTTTATTTTAAAATAGGTCGAAGAAGATTGGAAATACGTAGCTATGGTATTAGATCGTTTATTTTTATGGTTATTTACAATAGCGTGTATAGTTGGTACTGCATTAATAATATTACAAGCACCTAGTTTATATGATAATACTGAACCAATAGATATTTTGTATTCAAAAATAGCAAAGAAAAAATTCGAATTATTGAAAATGGGTAGCGATGATGTCTAGCGTCCGCTTGGGTTCGCAGCTGGCTGGTGGAATATGTTCTACAGTTGGTTGCGTGCCCTTATTGCTGAAATCGCTGCCGGTGATGATGGTCGAGGATAATATACTATTTTTAATTATATAAATAATATTAGTTATAATTTAAATAATTATATTAATAATATAATTGATAATAACAATAATAATAATAATAATAATAATAATATTAATAATGATAATTATAATAAAATTAATAAAACTTATAATTTTACAATAATAATAAATGATACTTTTATAAATACAAATAAATATATTAATATATTAAATTATAATATTAATAATAATAATACTATAACAAATAATAATAATAATAATAATAATAATAGTAATTATAATAATATATTAACAACATCATCGTCATCAATGTTATCAATAAACGAATTTAATAATGAAGACGATATTTTAAAAATTAATAAAACATCAAATTTATCAACAAAAATTGTTATTAAAAATTTAATAAAAAATAACAATAATATTAATAATGATAACAATAATAATGAAATTAATTCATTATTAATTAATAATAATAGTATTAATACAATTTCATGAAATTAAAACGAATCTAATGATAATATTATATTAGCGTAAATATATATATATATATGTAATAATAATAATTTAAAGAAAAAAAATCTCTAGTTATTTAATGTAAATTCGAAAAGAAATATGAAGAACAAAAATCCAAACACATTTTTTTTTGTTTTTGCACCAAAGGGTGATGAAAATCAATTAACAAAAAAAAAACAAATGAAAACTGCGAAGAAATAAAAAAATTTTTAGATTTTATTATATACATAGGTAAAAATTAAAAAATAATTAATAAAATCTCTATATATACAATAAATATAATTAAAAATTCTATTAATAAAATAATAACATCAAAAATTGCCATAATATTGTATGAAATATCATAAAATATTGAAATTTACTTTGATATTTTTAATTAAACAAAGTAATAAAAAAAACAATTTTAAGGTCGGTGTTGAAATCCTCTTGAAACACACATACACAAAATTAAAAAAAAAAAAACAAATAAAAAATCAGAGGACTTTATAAAATAAGGTTTTTAAAAATACAAACAAACAAAATGAATAAGAAAGGAATTAATTTAATAATACTATTTTTAAAATGAAAAAAAAAAAATTAATAACAAAAAATAAATATAAAATTTTTTTAAAATTGCACTTTTTTTCATATAAAAATAAATAATAAAATAAAAAAAAAATTGGAATAAAAATTATTATAAATAATTTTTAATATTAAAAAAAAAAATTAACAAAAACCAAAAAAAAAAATCATAGACTCTAATGGTAAAAATTAAAATCACATAAAATTACGAAAAAAAAAAAATTCAAAAAATCAGTGTTGTTCAAAATTTCAAAATCAAAATTAGAATAAAATTCTAACAAAAAAAAAAGCTAAAATTTCAAAAAAAAAAAAATTAAAAATGTTTGAATTAAATTTATAATTGTATATTTTATTTATTGTATAACATACTTACATATACATCCTTGTACATAAACAAATCACTTACATTAATCCATACAATAATTATAATAACACATATATATATATTTATATATTAAATATAAAAATAAAAAAAAATATTTATTAATTTTATTTAAATTAAAATTTTTTTTTTTAATTTTTTTCTTAAAAAAATATTTTTGTCTTAAATTAATTCCACACATTTTATTTATTAAAAAGCAAATTTAGAAAATTTAATTTTAAATTTGAAACTTAAATAAATCAAAAATTTCTTATTTATTAATTTAGCATAATTTTAATTGAAAAATAAATAGATTAATTAAAATAATTTATAAAATTTATAATGTAAATATATATTTTTGAATGTAATACATCAGTCATTATAATTATATTTTTCTTGTCATCATTAGGTTATAAAAATTTAAATCTAAATTTAATTAGAACTCAAATATACTTCAATATAAGAAAATATTATATATGACAAATAATTTGACAATTTTCTTTGATTGTCTCCAAGTGTTTAAACTTGTAATAGGTTAAAAAATTATAAATTCACAATTATTTCGAAATTTCATATTTGATTTGCTATATTTGAATCTCGGAGCTCTATTTATTGTTTCTTAATTACAGTAGAACAATTTTTTTCATAAATTATAATTTACAATAATTACTTTGTTTTCAGAAATGTTTTTTTTTTTTGGAAATTAAATAAGATGACTACATTATTGCTATTCATGTAAAAATGCGAAGTGCCATTTTAACAGTTTTCAGATTTTTGACTAATTTGTACTATTTTGTTGCGTCTTTGCTCTTACACTGTTTTGTGTTCCATTTTGTCCATGTTCATGTTATTCTTGTATTATATAAATATCTGCCAATTTTAGAAAAATAATTATTGATATTCAAAAATACTAAAAGCAAGTATATCACGTTATAAGAGTAATAAAATACTATTACAGTAAAAACTGCCTTAATTTTTTAAGTTTGTTAAAGGTTTAGGTATGTTTGAAATTTACAAATTTATATTATATTCATTTTCATATTATAATTAATTTACTTATGTTTGAATTGATTTATTGATTGTGAATTATCTGAATTACGTAAACATAAAACAACATGTGAACGGCAGGTACTTTCTGTCATTTATTAATTGAGAATCATTTCTTATTGTTCTTTTTATTCATTCTCTTACCAACCTTTGAAGGTAGCAGTTGTATTATTAATAAAATATTATAAAATATTAAAACTTGTTTGTTGCTATTCTATAACCTTAACAAAGTTAATCAAATCAAAACAAAGAACTGATACAAATCAGTTTAGTCAGAATACAAGTCTTATTTTTTAAATTTTTTTTTATTTCATAATTGATTTGCTAAATACTGGCTATATACCACTGTTGCAACAATTCACAGGCATAACAGTAAAATAAAATATACTTAGGTATATTGTATATATATTTATACATAAGTAATAATTTAAAACTACAATTTATTCTTCAAAATAAGGATATTTAACTTTAATACTACTACAACTTGTATTGTGATCCAGAAATTTTATAACAATACAAAAATAAGGGAGAGAAAACTGAAAAATTACAATATGACCGAAAAACTTTAAGTTGAATTGAAAAAATATTAAATTAAAATTTATCCTGTGAAAACTATTTTAATTAAATTTTCTCTAGAGCTCTCTGTTCTTTTTTTTCGGTTTTGTTTTTGTCAAACTAATGTTTTTCATTGTATACATAAATTTGCCTTGATTCTTTGCAACGCTTTAAAGTACACTTAATTATAAGTTTTTTGAATAATTTTTTTTTTCCTATAAAATTTTGCAAAGTAAAAAATGTTTTTTTTTTTGGTGTTGTTTACTTTACTTTTATTTTTTCTCACTTTTTTTTAAATATTTTATCTTCTCAAGAAGAAATCAATACCAACCAGAGATTTTATTTTAAAAACGTTCATTATAAAATACAGTATGTTTTGAAATTCAACTTTGTTGAAAGTTGAATGAATTTCAATGTAAAAATTTGTATTCTGAAAATAATTTATTCCATAGAACAAATATTGTAACAAACCTAGCTTGTTTTTATTAGGAACCGACATTATTTACAAAATACGAAAAAATTATTTACAAAATTTTTGAAGAATTTTTACATCTTTTAAACTCAATTAGTTATCAACATACCACTAGAGTGTTCTAGAGCAAATATTTTTAAAAATTATAAGGCTTATTGGAATTATTGATTAATAACCTTTTATTACAGATTTAATAAAAATTTCGATTTTATATTTTTATAACTCCCTATCTACCATACTGATTCCAGAAGAAAAAACCACGAAAATATTATTTATTATAAAAGCATAATGCAAATAAATACGTACATATACATAAATAATATAGAACTGAAAGATATGAAGGAATTAGCTAATAAGTTTTTAACCAACTTTTCATATTATATAAACTAAATAGTGTTATATTAGGGTGATAATATATATATATGTTTACAATTTCTAAAAAAAAAAAAAATAAACAAAATATCACAACTATATTATGAAAAACATTTTCAATACATTTCAAAGTTATAAGTGGAAAATTAATAAAAAATAAAAATATATATATATATATATATATATTTCAAGTAAAGTCTGTAATTTAATATGAGATGAAAAAGTTGAAAAATAAATATACTTTTTAATTAAAACTTTTTCTGCAAAAAAAAACAAATTTCTTTTATGCGATATAAATTGCATTTTGATGAATTAGAAATTGTCACATAATTCACAAATATATTTTATATTTTCTCTATTCAGAAATTATTTATTGAAGCTGGTGTATTATACAAATACCTAATTAAAAAAAATTTAAAAGTAATATTTCCTCTAATAAAATTTCTAATTATAATAAAATATTTGCATCTACTGTATGTGTGGTTGATATTAAGCAACTTAATATGTAAAATATGAAAATTTTGTTATTATTGTGCAGAAAATATTAAAATTGTAACATATAGCTATTTTGTGATTTATCATTAATTTGAAATTTTGTTTTGAAAAAATTTACTAAAAATTCTTAAATAAATTTTAAACAACCAGCAGTAACTGCTTGTATTGCTGAATAATTTATAATTCCTATAATAAAACTCCTTCTTGGCTATAGTCTAAAGATTTTCAATATGAGCTATGTTTTAGCATTGCAACTTTTTGTTTTCTAGAAAGATAGCTTTCAAAATGACATTTCAGTAACCAGTATTACAACATGTTGTATATACCTATTTTAGATTACATAGTATTATAAATATTATTAATACAATATGTAGTGAATATTAAAAAATAAAAAATTTCATGCTTTTTTTAGTTAAATATGAAGATTTTCTTAAATATTATTTTCAATAATAAATATTTAATTAATTATTTCAATATTATTGTGATAATAAAAGTATTACATTCAAAAATATTTACATTATAATTATTAATAAGAAAATACCATGTAATAAAAAATTTAATTTTATAATTTTATTTAAATTTTTTAAATTAATTAATTAATTAGCTACAGCACTGCCTAAAATTACACTAAGAATTTTTTTACGATTATTTATAAAATACATGTAATTTCTTAATTATATAATAATATTATATAAAATAAAAAAAAATTCAATATTATTGATATCACAGTTACTAGATGATTGTATTATATAAAAAAATTTTTTTTTAATTTATTTTTTATTTTATTATACAAAAAATAATTTGAAAAAATTGCCTGTTTATTTTGAAAATTTATATTTTAATTAAATTTCATTGGCAACTTAATGTTATATGCATATTTTTTTTTTTTTAAATTTTAAATAACAACAACAATATTATTAATTGATCAACAATTCAGTAATTTCAAAAAAAAA